TCGATTTCAGTTCATTCTTCACATATTCCTTTTTTCAAAAGTTAAGATTATTTGGATCATGACACTTTGTTCAAACAACAGCACTACTAAATTTTTACTTTTTGAGAACTATACTTTTTTCCTTTTTAGTTAGTTGGTATTTCAAAAATTTAAAATCAAATTTGAATAAAAAGTTCAGTTTCAGATTCCCAGTTTTTATAAGTTTTCAACTAATACTCCGGTTTGAGAAAAGCAAGTTTATTTTTATAATTTTATAAATTTTAATATTTTTTCAAAAAATGTTCATTCTATGTTCCAGAAATTTGAGTTTCATAATTTCTGATTCTCTGTATATGTTCCTATTTTCACAGCATTCATTTCTCCCACAGTTTTCAATTTTTACCGTTTATCACAATTCATAAACCTTTCTCCAATTCTGTTCTTTCGTTTCGTTTCCTCTTTTTTGTAATATTCATATGTTTCAGAACGATTCCCACGGGATTCACCTATTAAACAAATCCCTACAAAACTTTTCGAAAAAAAAAACATTGGGATTTTTTGGTTCCTCATCCACTCTGTTATAATATCGAAAAACGAAATGCCATTGTGGTAAAAACGAGTGAGAGAGTATCGAAAATCAAGAGACGCCAGAGAACAAAACAATTGGGACTGAGCAAATATTGGGAAACGAAAGCGAAAAGAAGGGGAAAAGGAGGAGCAGTTTGCGATCCGATATGGGTATGTTGTTTAATAAAATACGTTTGTGTGTGTTTATACGCCAAAAAACATGTATATGGTTATGATGTTTTGGCACCTAGACAATGTTTTTTTTTCTCAGAACTTCTAAAAAATTCATATAAGATTAACAAAGTTCCTAATTTTCATAACTTTGAGAAACCGAAAGTTTTTGAGAATCTGTTTCATATATGGTTCTGATTTCTATTTGAATTGCTGCCAATCTTCTTTGGATATTATTATATTCTGTTTCAAATTCGTAAGAGGCTCCGTAATCTTTTTTAATGCAATGAACATCGTCTTTAACCTGTTGGAAAGCTTGAAGTTTTGTTAGTTTCGTAAACTGTCTAACAGAATGCCATCCTATGCTCACTTCCAGCTAAACTTTCTCAAGTTCTGTATAAAGACGATAGACAATTATATGTTTTTTTTTCTCCAAACTTGTGTACATAGCAAAGACATCTAAGATTTTCGAAGCTTGTAATTTTGAAAACTTTGAGAAACGGAAAATTTTTATTCCAGCTGTTTCGATTATTCCATATATTGTTTCCGATTTTTATTGAATTGCTATAGATCCGTTCCGAAAATCATAGTTTTCTGTTTCGAATCTGTAACAAACTTCTTATAATCTTTTCTAGTCTAATAATTTTTTGAATCTTTTACTTTATTAAATTGAATTTCACCCTATTTTCATGTTTCTATTTGAGCTCAATTATCTCAATTTCTGTGAAAAGAGAGTTACAGAATTTTGTAACTTTAATTTTTATCATAGTTGCAAATCTATAACGGCCCGGCCCGCGGGTCGGCCCGTTAAGAATTTTGGCGGGCCGGGGTTTGTACAGAAGTTGTTTTTTTTCGAAAATTTTGAAATGTTTTCAAAAATTTAAACGAAAACGACCTATTTTTGACTACTTTCTATTTTGTGAATTTCGTTAAATAATGTAACCTTTTTTCTTTTGTAATTTAAAAAAATTCCCCAATTTTTCATTGAAAATTTTTCAACTGTAGTAGGCGGCCCGGCCCGGCCTTTTGCAACTATGATATTTTAAATGTCAGAGACTCATTCCTCTAGTTCCCACCGTTCTAAATACTGACTCTCTTAAAAACTGTCTGTTTTCTCCTATGTAGCCTGCAAAACTCTAAAACTCGGCTAACTAGATTATCCAAAGTTTTAGTGAATACGGTATTCAAAATACCTTATGAGTTCCATTCAACATACCGAGAAAAATGCCACTTTCATGACTGTGCTTCGAGCTCAATTATCTCAAATCATGTAAGAGATATCATAAATCTGTAAACTATGAAAATGTTAGTGGTATTATGATAAACATTTATCAGTAAACAAATTTTAGATACCTCTTACAGAAACTGTCATAATTGAGCTCAAAGTGCGAGTACTTTTCTGTTTCAAGTACTCAAAAAGTTTCCTTCATTTTTTGATTTGCTTAATTAATTCCCAATGCTTACACATAAAAAATTGGAAGCTTTTACTTTTTAAAAATGTATAAAAACACAAATGGGTCTTGAGTAAGGCAAGTTGTTCTAGAAGAGTTCCATTTTCCAGCAGGAAAATAAAATGGTTTCTGTTGAAATGTACGATTTGTTTCCTATAAATTTCAAAAATTAGTTTTGAAATATTAACATTTTTGATTATTAAACAAGCAACATTACGAAAAACTAAAATTGGTGTGATTTACTAGGCTCATGAAACAGTAAATTTTTTTCCTAAATTTTTCAGTAATTTTTACGGCCTTCTCAACTGCTCAACCGTTAAAGCTAAAGAGCACAAGACGCAGACAGTGTGAGACAAGTCAGACGGACCCAGACCACGATAAGAAAAATACGGTTTTGTGTGTATTATGAGGTAAAATGGGATCGTCGGGGGAGAGAGAAGCGAGTTTTACCACTTGGCAAACATTTTAAAATCGGGGCAGCCAGCCATTTGAGAAAAAGAGAGAGGACATTGAGGGTACAAGTCATCACACTTTTCTTGTTGTGACCTTTCGGGGTGAGTCATCCCGAAAGTTAGATTTTTTCTAGTGCAAAAAAAACGGCCAAGCTAAGGTCAAATGTAGTTCTAGGCACTAACAAAAGACAACTTGAACTTTGAGTTCAATTATCTCGGTTTCTGTAAGAGATACAAAACTTTGAAAACTACCAAAATGTGAGTATGTCAAACATTTCATCAGTTGTTCGTTTTTTTTTTCATATCTCTCACAGGAACTGAGATTATTGAGCTCAAAGTGAGGGTTCTAAAATAAGAATTTCACAAAACTCGAATCGGAGAGTTTCAGACTTTTCGATTATTGGCTATTTTTTAAACAACGAACAATAAGTTGTAAGTAATCAAACGAAAATTACACAAAAATTTTCAGTTTTATGAAACAGGAATTTTTCTTTTTAAAAAACTTTTTCCTGTTTCTCAGGGTGTTTAACTTCATTTCTTTCAGTTCCCTTTCAGTTTATCCAGTGTTTGATTACATCTGTTAAATTGTTCACATTTGAAATGGTATTACACGAAGAAGATATCTCGGCATAAACACGCGGAAGATGTGCAGCATTTACGCAAGAGATGTTAGTAGACTGCACATCTGTTGCGACATTGCTGCACAACTGTAGGGAATGTGTAGGGCAGTTGATGCGCGAATGTAGGATATTCAGCCGATAGCCCCCTCCCCCCTCGTTTTTCGCTTTTATCGCACTTAATTGAAACAGTTGTTAAAAATACGTTTATTGAAAAATTGAAAACTAAAATAAATGAGGGGAATGAAAAAATACAAAAAAAAAACATTATACTATTTAGAAATGAGTTTATATTTTTCGCTTCCTGGCTTAATCTCAAATTGATTCTCAATACATTCGTCTTTTGAAGCCTTAGCAGTTGAGTGTCGCCTTCTTCCTTCCATCCTGAACCGGGTGTTTGGCGGAGGGTGTCGCTTCTATTCGAATGTCCGCACGGTCCGACGCCTTCTCTCATCCGACAGTTTATTTCATAGCGGTCTGTAACAGGAAACACGTTTTGAGAGTAAATATTTCAGGTTATTTATAATGCTATCTTTTGAGAAACGAAAATTCAAGGAAAACAACAGAACTTTTCATATAATGATTGTTTTTGATCAGCCACTAGCAGTGTGTCTTTTCGAAAAATGTGTTTTACAACGAAACATTATGAGAAAAATAACTTTCGAAATTCATCAAAAGAGTTTGTCTTAAATTTCGATCTGTCTAGATTTGAACGCGACGATGTACAGTGATCGATGTTTACACCTTCTTTGGTTACTGTAGCTGTAACAGTGTAACTTGCCATTTTCAAATCATCAGGATACTCTTCTGTTAAAAGCGTTTTAAGCAGAAAACTCATAAAATGGTATCCGATATTTGAAAAAATGTCCCGTTTCTCCATTTTCCATTTTCTGTGGCTTCAATTTCAAGTTATTGGTTCAGACGTCGCGCTTGTATCCTAATTTTTCTCCACTAAAAATTTTTAAAAAATTCAAAATTGACTTTTTTGATGACTAACAATAGGACTAACTGTTCAAAACTTTCTGTTTTATTTTTCAAAAAAAATTTGATGAGAGGGATGGAAAAGTTTGAACAGTTGTCTGTGATGAGCTCATCCAATCTTTCGGATGTCAGTCACAATTTTTTTCTTCACTAGTTTTGGATTTCATAATAAAAAATTAGAATTCTGAAAAAATTAATTTCTTACTGAAACAGGAAGTTTTTTTTTGTGAAATTTGTGATTCTGGAAACATCGTCTACCAAACGTTCAATGACAGCCCTTAATGTGCTTTCTGAATGTCCAAAAACAGAATATTAATATTTTCATATGGCCTAGCTTTTCTAGATTTTTATGCGTTTGAAATCAAAATTTTTCTACTGTTTCAGGCATTTTGGATTTTCTGAATTCTTCAAATTTTTTTATTTTTTGAAGTTTCTGATATTCTGGTTGTGTCTATTTCTTAATTTATATCTTTCACAGGAACCGAAATAATTGAACTCAAAGAAATAGCAATCGTGTAGCTCTCCTGCTCATTTCGTAATAAATAACTTCTACGTCACTCCAAACTACGATTCCACCCACTTTTTGTTTTTGTTTCGTTGTGCTTTTCTTTCTTCTTCTTCTTTTTTGAGCTCCCCGAGCAACATCATCTATTTCAACGAAATTGGTTTTTTTTCGTAGCGGTTTCCTAGCAAAATGCTATTCAGCCATCCGTCCCCCGCCGCTAAATCGCTAAAAACTTTCACTTTCTATTCTTTTTGCTTTAACTTTTTATATTTTGAAAATGAGCCTTAAAGAAGGCGATTTCTCGAAAATCAAAGTTCGAGGAGCCAAAAAAGACAAAAAGAAGACTAAAAATGCTAAAATTCGGCCAGCTGGGGTGCCAAAGAAGAAGAAGAAGAAGACTAAAGAATCCAAGTCAAGCACTCCGGAATCTGGAACTTCCAAATTTTCCAAAAAATCAAAATCTTCAAAGGCCTCCAAGGTCTCAAAGATTTCCAAGACTTCCAAGTCCTCCAAAGTATCCAAGATTTCGAAGAAATTCAAAAAATCAACTCCTAAAAAAGAAAAGATCAAGAAAGTGAATGATTTTGATTTGATTTTGGGACCAAATGGTCCAAGAGTCAGAAGAGGTGAGTTACATGAATTACTGTTGTTTAAAAAATGTTTTTTTTGTTAAAATGTCTGCTTACATAGTCCATTGACCAAAACCATGTGTCCCGAATTATAACGACATCTTGAAACGTGAAATTTTTTATGTTTTGCAAAATTACAGCTTCGTTAATATTCTTTTCTTTTATTGTCAAATGAAATTAGCCCCCCCCCTTTTGGTAGTTCTGCCGCATGGTTTTTTCCTTCGAGTTTATTCAAGAAACTACAGTACTGATCTACTGATCTCTTGAATCCGATCCATTGAACAGAATCATATGTTCCAAAATTTGATAAAAACTTGTAACATGTTTTTTTGTAAAATCATATTTGGTTTAAAAAGTTAAGCCCCGCCCATTTTCTGTAATTCTGCTGCATGTTTTTTAAAATATTGAAACTACAGTACTACGAAAAAACGAGTTCCAAATGGTCCTTCTAGTAAAAATTGTTAATATTGAATGTCCGAAATTGTACGACTGACAGCATAGCAACTTGGAGTTTAGAAGGCTAGAGACTCAGACAACGAGCCACTCTAACTATCTGCGTCTCTTGCATTCTATTTTGAAGTTCTACACTTGCTTCAGAAGTTCTGAAATTTTCAGAACAACCGGGTTAGTTTGAAGTACTATTCAAAGTCGACCATCTTCAACTAGGAACCTTTCTTTTTAGGTAGTACTGCATGCTTTAAAACTTTCTGTTTCATATGGACCACAAAATTTTATTGCTCATCGGTTTTTTAAAGTTTACATCAGCTTCAATTCTGATTGTGAAAATCATTTGAAATTTTGAAACCCAAAAAAATACTAATAAGTTGAAACATTATCCTTTTTATTTAAAACTTCCTTTCATGACCCATTCTCTGACCTTTCCTTCTACCTCTTATCTTCAATTTTTCCATATTTCTTTGCAACACAGAAAATTTTCCAATATGTATATTTGCATTAATACTTGTGGTCTGACGCATATGCTCACTCATATATAAGTTGGCTCGAACTCTTTTTTTATGACTCATCCGAAAGAAAAAAAACCTTTTTTTCTTGATAACTTGACTCATTTTTCTATTCTATGATTGCGAAAATTATTTTGAAAAAAAATTTGCAGTTTCAAAGGTTCCAAATAGTTCCTGGTTGTGAAAATTGTCTAAATTCACGACGACATTGTTTTCCATTACCTGTGTTGACAACATTAGAGTGGATCAATAACTTCTCAAAGTGTATCAAGTTTTTGAAAATGTTTATCTTTTCTTGAAGAGTTTTTTAAACCCTGTTTCAAAAAATTTTGAATTCCTAATAATTTTTTGGTAAATGGTTGGCTCCATAGTGCCGTTGCTTGTTAAAAACCTAAAGAAAAGTTGAAGCGATTTTCGAAATATACTTCAATAAAACGTTGGCGCGCCGCAGCCGAAAAAGGGTGCGTTCCTGATACGCCCCTTTTTGCAACAGTGGCGCACACTTTTTTGGGGATCTTTTTCTCGGAATTTTCATAAAGGGGCGTGTCGCGTAAGCCCCGCCCCTTGCCCAGATTTTTTTTTGTAGAGAGAGTATAGCTTTTCGATCACAAAAAAAATCGGTTTTTGAAAATTGATGAATTTTACAGAATTTCAAATTCTTGTTCTTGTTCATTTGTTTTACTTAAAACATAAAAAAACTTGAAGTAAGTCATTTTTAAGTAATTTTTCTAAATAATAATGTTTCACAAGTTGCATTAACTTTCTAAAGCTATTGGTTTTCCAATTAACCTTTCACCCTTTCAACATAAATAATTAGCACACGAAATTGTAGATTTTGGATTCCGATACTTTTGAGATTACAGCTGATTATTGGTTTTTCTGGTTTCTGAGCGTAAGAAACGGCGTTCCCATGCCCTAGGCCGGATTTCGACAGCTTATAAGTTTCACCCAACAAACTTCTATTTTTCACAAAAAAAAATTAACTCCTGTTTCACATTTTTCATAGATAATCTTGTTTCATTTGAAACAACGTTAAAAAATTATGAGTAGGATTTTTTGAAATTCCTAAACTTTTCTCTCGAAACTTTGGGGATCTAAACTGAACTATTATCGAACGGGAACATAGTACACATTAAATATAGCAGAACATAACATCATACAACACATACCCACCCCGATAATCCTGTCCGATGGCTTATGTAAATTGGCACCGGCCCCTCCTCCTCTTTATATCCGAAAATTCGAGAGGGTTAGGTGGACTGTCATTGAGAGGGCAAACATAGAGATATTTAATACTCGTAAACCTAACTTTCCCGCGTTCTCTTCCCCTCTCTCTCTCTCTCTCTCTCTCTCTCTCCATCTTTCATCATTTATTGATTATTTGTTGTGATATCATTTTTGAGGAATTTCAAAAACTTTGTGGGTGGATTTGGAGTATAAAACTTGTTTTCTATGTTTCAATTGGTTGAAAAGATATTGATATTTAAATTTTTTTGGATCAAATTGAAAAGTTTCCGTTTCAATATTGTTGGAATAGATTCAGGGTTGAATCTTCTTTGATATCTCACTCTTCTCAAAACCTATATGCATGAGAAATTCCTGTTTCGAAAACTTTGTAAAACATTTAAAACTTTACTTTGTTGTAATTTGTAATTTTGTAATTTGTTTATTGATTATTGGTGTTAATGGCCCAGTTTCCAAGAACAAAAAATTGTGTTTGAAGTAAAACGGATTTTACTATTTTCTTCCAAAAATTACTGATTCCAATCAATAATTTTCGTAGCTCAAGTTTTTGAACTCAATAATCAATTCTTGTCGCTACAAATTCTTTTTGATTTCCTTTTGTTTTGAAGTTCCAATGTTTTTTCTCAATGTGAAAAAACTATGAAACACCGGTTTCAGAATGACCATACAGATCCGAGGCAATTCTGATGATTTAATCAGATTTGGCAATGATATTTTAAAATATACAATTTTTTCCAAAATAAAGTGTGCTCAAAAAGTCACACTTTTCCCTCCGAAATGATTCATTTTCTCTGACTTGATCTAGTTCTATGTGATTCATCATTTTTCAAACTTTAAAAAGGCAAAAGAACGAATAATTTAACGTCAATCAATGAGTTTCCTATTAAGTAGAACGGAACACACAAGTGATATAAAATTAATAAGAGAGACGAAAAGAAAATAAAAAAGTTGAAGTGGTAAAATGCGTAAAAATGATATCAGTTTTTTACTGTTTCAAGTTGGTTTTTAATTTTTTTGGAAGATCTTTTCTTTAGTAAAATTTGCACTAACGCATTGAGCTCAATTATCTCGGTTCTTATAAGAGATATCAAAAATTTGTCAACTGATAAAAGATTTATCATAATACTAGCAAAATTTTTGTAGATTCAGGTTTTTGATATGGCCTATGGGAACGGAGATAATTGAGCCCAAAGAGCAAGTCCCGCTGTGGCCGTGTAGCGGCCATCTAAGTTTTGCTGTTTCAAATTTTCAATAAGATTTCAAAACTTTAAAAAATGTAATCTTTTTTTGGTGAGTTTTAATTATTAATTGCGAAATTTGAGATTCTTTAAGTCAAAGCTGTAGAAAATGACGGTCGGCCGCGGCCGGCCGTGACATAGTTTAGCAGTAAGTCAGCATACCGTAAAACCTCTAATAGAACGACACCCGGATCGTCCACTTTGAGCCTGTATATCTCACTTGATTTAAAAGATATTAAAAAGTTGTCAACTGATAAAATGTAGCTGATGATATGATAAACATTTTATCAGTTAATCACTTTTTGATATCTTTCAAATGAAGTGAGATATATAGGCTCAAAGTGGACGATCCGGGTGTCGTTCTATTAGAGGTTTTACGGTAGATTCCCAGATTCCCAAAAACTCCAGAATTCCCCTTCTATATTTTATAAAATATACATTTTCTCCCCCTCCCCACAAAAAATGGCGTTATCAGTGATTCACCCCCATCCTCCGCCTCCCTAAAACTCTCTATTTTTTCTATTCCTCCTTCTTTTTTTCACAATTTCCCTCCCTGATACACGTTGTTTCAGACAATGTGCTGTGTTTCCATGTATGTATCGGTGTTAGTCACTTTTTTCTTTCTTTCGTTTTTTGTTTCTCTGTGCCATTGAGCTTCTATTTTTTGTCGTTTTGTATAGTCTCGGTCGTCACACTTTTTTTACATTTTCAGGTTTTTGAGAAAATTGGATTGAACAAGATTCAATATTGCTTGGTGTGTCTAATCTGACAAATACTACAATTTAAAAAAATCTAGAATCTGAATTTTCAAAAAATTTCATTGTTTCCCCAAACTATTTAATTTTGTGTATCAAAAAAAAATTCTGATCCGATTTGTATTTTTTCAGCACCTGTCGTACCAATTTACAACGACCCGAAACAGGGCTTCGATAACGATAAGAAGAACGGTGAGTTGTTTTTTTCGATGATTCAAAAGGATTTATCGACTTTGACTTAATTTATCTTTTTTCATAGGAGAGATATCAAAAAATGATCAACTGATAAAATATTCAACTAAAATGATACACATTTTATTAATTGACATTTTTTGATACCTCTTACAGGAACTCAGATAATTTGGGTCAAAGTTAATGTACCTTTTATTACAAAGAAACTCCTAAAATTTTAATTCTAGTTCAAACTTGTCAAGTTTGAATGTCTGATTTTGCAACGAAAATCACATTTCTAGCCATACTAGAAGCCAAGATACGGCAACTTGAAACTAGAAGGCTAGAGACACAGACAGTAAGACAGTCTAACTGTCTGCGTCTTTTAATTTAGCTGTTACTGTAGTTTTTCACTTACTGTAGTTTTTCACTTACTTGTTAGTTTTTTAATTAAAATGCGTCTTGTTAACTGAATTCAAAATTGAAGAACGGTGAAATTTATAGGTTTTTGAAGTAATAAAATTTTTTTTTAATATTTCCAGAAAAACCAACTAAAAAACCATCTGAAAGTGGGCGTGGCATGTTCAGTTGGTTTCCATGTTGTGCGAGCACATCGAAGGAAAAAAATGCGCCGACGGAAAGGAGGTTACGAGCCAACGATAGGGAATATAATGCTCAATTTAAGTATGCGGTGAGTTTGAAATTACTGTAAGAAGACCTCGGAGCAAAATGTTTTTCCTGTTCCACAAATTTAAGATTAATGAAACAGAAATTTTCAGGATAACCTAATCAAAACGTCCAAATACAACATAATCACATTTGTGCCGCAGAATCTGTTTGAGCAATTTCAGCGGATAGCCAACTTTTATTTTTTAGTTCTGATGATATTACAGGTACTATTTTTCTTGAAGTTTTAAAGTTCCCAACAAAAAAATTCCAGTTTATCCCTCAAATCTCATCAATTTCATGGTATTCAACGGCAGTTCCACTGGTGATAGTGCTAGCCTTCTCAGCGATAAAAGATGGGTATGATGATGTGGTAAGTTTCTGAAAAATATTACTGTATCTCGTTTGCGTGATAGGTGAACTACAACTCAAGCTATGATTCATAGGAACCCTCCGGGAAAAATGAGCAAAAACTAGAAACTGTACATTTCCAGCAACGCCACGTGTCTGATCGAAATGTAAACGGTCGAAAATCGTATGTAGTAAGGAACGGAAGTCTGTGTGAAGAGGATTGGAGTAATGTGAAAGTGGGTGATGTGATACGAATGATGAGCAATCAGTTTGTGGCGGTGAGTTTGATTTTTCTGCATCCTACCGATGGATTGAAGATTTGGAATATTGGAGTTTTGATATAACTATTCGGAAACAGTAGAAAATAGTGTGTTTTAAAACAGTGAAGATTGAAATTCTATAACCGTTTGGACTCAAAAATATATCTTAAAATTGAATCGAAATCTGGGTTATTGTGAAAAAGATATGTCCATTATGAAACAGTAAAAATTATGTATCTTCAGTCAGAGTCGTTGAAGCTTCTTAGGTATTTGAGGTTTATCCTTTTCTATGCCCAAGAAACATTAGAAGTATAAATTGATTAAAATTTCCAGGCGGATCTCCTACTGCTATCCACATCTGAACCATATGGAGTATGTTTTATTGAAACAATGGAATTGGATGGAGAAACGAATTTAAAAAATCGAGGAGCCATGTCATGTACCCAAGTGATGGGCGATGATTTGGATGGAATCACTAGGTTTGATGGTTAGTTAACTTTAATTACAGTACCAGCCGTCTATATTTCCAAACGCGTAGCTCAATGGCATTGCTATGTACAGTACCAGGCAAAAACTAATTAATTTTGTTTATTTTTAGTTGAAAGCTGTCAAAGAAAAATTGTCAGCTACAAAATTAAAGCTCTAGTTTTGTTTAGTATACTCACAATCAGAAACTCGCAGAAAAATTGAAAAATTCTGGATAAGTTTTTAGGCACCCGAAGTTGATCATTTTCAACTGTAAATTGATTGTTAGATGTCCTATGACCTATGTCACATTGGATCATTAATTAAATTTAAACCTAAAAATACCAGAAATTTGAAATAGAATTTTTTTCCAGGAGAAATCGTGTGCGAACCCCCCAACAACAAATTGGATAAGTTTCAAGGAAAGCTAATGTGGAATAATCAGGAATACGGTATCAGCAATGATAACATCTTGTTGAGAGGATGCATTTTGAAGAATACCAGATGGTAAGAGCTCCAGAGGATATTTTGCATGAAAAAAATTTAATATTTGTCACCAAATCTCAAGCAAACTATAAACTTATTGAAACTGAAAAAAAATTCCAGGTGCTACGGAGTGGTGGTATTTGCTGGAAAAGACACAAAATTGATGATGAACAGTGGAAAAACGAAATTCAAGAGAACTTCCCTAGATCGATTCTTGAACATTCTCATCGTCGGAATCGTGCTCTTTTTGATCGCCATGTGTCTAATTTGTACGATTTTGTGTGCTGTATGGGAGTATCAAACTGGAAGATATTTCACGATTTATTTGCCATGGGATGATATTGTACCAAGTCCGGAGCAGAGAGGTAAATCACGTCGGTTGATAAAAATATTATATTTAGGGAATTTTAATAGTATATTATGTTATCATTGTAACAGAGCCAATATTTTAGGACCCATAACGAAGAAGAAAACTATGACAGTAGGGACCTACATTCGTTCCGGTGAAAGACATTAAAAAATAGCAAAATAATAATCTTAACACCAACAAACATTTATCAGTTAACAACTTTTCTTTATTTTTTCCAGGGAACGAAAGAGACTGACTCAAAGCTATAGGCCTTTATAATTCCCAACTTCCAGGTGGCCGTCAAATTGCTCTAATTGCCTTCCTACAATTCTTCTCCTACATCATTTTGCTGAATACAGTAGTCCCGATTTCTCTCTACGTTTCCGTCGAAATCATTCGATTTATCCATTCGTTATGGATCAATTACGACACCAAAATGTACTATGAAAATGGAGAGAAAAGTGTTCCAGCCAAGGCGCATACGACAACTTTGAATGAGGAATTGGGTCAAGTACAGTATGTTTTCAGTGATAAGACTGGAACATTGACAAGAAATATTATGACTTTTAATAAGGTAAGCGATTTTTTTAGAGATCGTATAGTTTATCACTTGAAAATTTCGATTCTAATTTTTATCATGAATACGCTACAGTAAATATTTTTCAGTGTACCATCAATGGAATATCGTATGGAGATGTGTATGACAACAAAGGAGAGGTTATAGAACCAACCGATGTAAGTTCAGGATTTCAAATGTGCTCTACGAGACTTTTATAAAAATTGCAATACCACTAACCACTAATAAACTAATTTCAATATATCAATTATCACAACTACTTGAAACAGTAAAATTTTAGAAAACACCATCTCTCAACTTCTCATGGAACTCATCCTCCGAACCAACCTTCAAATTCTACGACAAGAATCTTCTAGACGCCACAAAACGCCAAGTACCAGAAATCGATCAATTCTGGAGATTATTGGCGCTGTGTCATACTGTAATGCCAGAACGAGATAAAGGGCAACTAGTGTATCAGGCACAGTCACCCGATGAACATGCTCTCACATCGGCCGCCCGGAATTTCGGTTATGTATTCCGAGCAAGAACACCGCAGAGTATTACGATTGAGGTGATGGGAAATGAGGAGACACATGATTTGTTGTCAATTTTGGATTTTAATAATGAGAGGAAACGGATGTCGGTCATTGTGAGAGGATCAGATGGGAAGATTAGGCTGTATTGCAAAGGAGCGGATATGATGATTATGCAAAGGATACATGTGAGTTGATTTCTTTGAAGCGCTGCTATATCTCACTTGGATGAATCAAGACTAAAAAGTTGTCAACTACAAAATTGAAATTCTAGTTTTGTTTAGTGTACCCTGAAAATTTCAGACAAATCGAAAACTTCTTAACTACTTTTGTAGGGTATCAAAGTTAACTACTTTTCCGTTTTTTCAGGTACTGTAGAAATATAAAGTCTCTGTTTCAAAAAGTTCATTAACTCAAGCCCATTTGAATTCTATCAATACTAATCTTTTCCAAAATCTGACCGTTTTGAAAAGTTATTAAACATAATCATTTAAATTCCATCAATAAGGAAATTTTTTTACAGCCTTCAACATCTCAAATCATGCGAACCTCAACCAACACTCATCTCGCCGATTTCGCCAATATCGGTCTCCGAACACTATGCCTTGCCTACAAAGACATTGATCCAGGATACTTTTCCGATTGGGAGCAACGTGTCAAAACAGCTTCCGCACAAATGCAGAATCGAGAATCCGCGGTGGATGCGTTGTATGAGGAAATCGAGAAGGATTTGGTATTAATTGGAGCCACTGCAATTGAGGATAAACTACAGGATGGGGTACCAGAAGCGATTGCAAGGCTATCCGAAGCGAATATTAAGATTTGGGTGTTGACTGGAGATAAGACGGTGATTAAAATGTTACGGTTTCATGGGGAACATGACATTTTGGAATTTTTTGACTGATTGATTTTTTTTTGATGGACAAAAGAATAGATAAATTGAGTCAAAGTTAGGGCGTTTCAGTATCATTTGTTTGGGTCCTACGAAAAATGTCTCTGTTACAAAAGGGCTAAAAATTTATAGTGATTAAATATTATACTAATTTTAAAGTTATCCATATTTTTTCCAGGAAACCGCCATCAACATTGCCTACTCATGTCGATTGCTAACTGACGAAACCAAGGAAATTGTAGTCGTTGACGGACAAACAGAATCTGAAGTTGAAGTGCAGCTGAAGGACACCAGAAACACTTTTGAGCAGATTTTGGCGTTGGTGAGTTGAATAAAAATCAAGAACAAAAAGACAGAATTTCAATTTACAAAGTTGATGAAACAGGAAAAAATGTTTGAAAAACGATGCCGTTTCAAGACTTCCAGAAGTTCCGAGAACTTTTTTTAAATCTACTGATCTGTTCGATAGAGCATAAATCCATCCTAGAAACCCCGACCCCCAGAATTCCGACGTTCCGAAGAAGTGGATATCTATATAAACGAGATTATTCGTTTGCTAGATTCCATGGACAAATCGACAAGGGTTTGAAAAAACTAATGAAACCATTCTTATTGTTTTTGGCTGCTCAATTCTGGTGCATCCCTTTTTAGTTGCCTATTTCAAAATCTTTATTTCAAATTAAATATCGATTTATTTCCAGCCATCACCCGGAGGACCTGGATCAAAGCCAAGAATTGAAATCGAGACGATTCATGAGGATTCGGATATTGTGTCATCTGCAAGGAGTATGGATAGTGGGTTTTTTTTAACCTTAACATTGAGCCAATTTATCTTGTTGTCCTGTAAGAATTGACAAAATCTTAAACAAAAGATAACAACTATTTTATCAGTTAAGACATTTTTGATACCTCTTTAAAAAAATTGAGATAATTGAGCTCAAATGGTAATTAGGGGTGTGGCAATTTATAATAGGATTTGCTAATTTGATGAATTTCAATATTGCGGTTGTACTAGAAATTTTTGAACAAGCTAACTCAAATTCTCCAGGAAACATTGTCACTCCCGACTTAAAATCTGCGGAATTGGCTGAAAACGAAACTGGAGGCGTGGCTTTGGTCATCAATGGAGATTCATTGGCGTTCGCATTGGGACCAAGACTCGAAAGGACGTTTTTGGAAGTGGCTTGTATGTGTAATGTGAGTTTTTGTGTCTAAAAATTGGAAAATCATGAGATTCTGTTCAAAATTTAGTTTCAGGATTTTACAGTTTCAGTTACTCATTCTATTAGATAACGTCTTTTTTTCAATAGTTCTGGATTGAATCTGGATTTGGAGGGATTCTTAACATTGACCCAATTTATTTCGGTTCCTGTGAGAGATTTAAAAAATTGGTCAACTGATAAGATGATTATGATATTATGAGTAACATTTTATCAGTTGACCACTTTTTGATATCTCTAACATGAACCGAGATAAATTGGGTCAAAGTTAAATATGAAACAATTTTTTATTATACATTAACGTCACTGAAAAAAAAATAAATAGGAACCGTCATTAAACCTACATGAAACAGAAACAACTTTTTTAGAAAGTTTTCCGTTTTCCTACAGTACCATTCTAAAAATCAGATTCTGAAATCATTTTCTCATTCCAGGCAGTCATCTGTTGTCGTGTGACACCGCTTCAAAAAGCGCAAGTAGTCGATTTGGTGAAACGGAACAAAAAAGCAGTGACTCTATCAATTGGAGATGGTGCCAATGATGTTAGTATGATCAAGACAGCACATATTGGAGTTGGAATTTCTGGTAAGAAGGATTTTGAAGGAGATTTTCGGTTTCATAAGGTCTATAATATTAGGTTGTTCGGAAAGTCCTTTCCATTCGATATAAAAAAGGTCAAAACAATGTCAGATAAATTTAAGATATTGACCATTGTTATCAGTGACTATCTGCCAACGACCCACCAAATTGTGGATGCCTTCCTTCCAGAACTCCGGTCACAGCGCATTAAAAATCAGGTCAACCCATTTTTGACATCATGCTTTGAAGTGAATTTTTTTCAATCAAGATGTCGGTAGAAATGGCTGGATAGGGGGTAGTCAGACAGTACAAGGTTTGGACTATACTGTAGATGAGACAGAACCGTTCAGCCGTATCCAGTGAAATTGGTCTCCGTTCTCCTTCCCGCATGAGGTTGCGAATTTCGATTTTGAAAATAAGCATTTGTGTTTCTCTCCAATGGAGATCCACATGGAGTCTGAGTTATGTCGCCTGACAAAAATAGGTATCGGTCATAAAAGTGACACCATTATCTGGCAGCTCCCAATACTCCACTCCTTGGTAGACATCCATGCCGAAAACATACCATTTTTAACGTTAATTTCACGTTTCGGGACGTCTGGCGGTTGAGTGCCTTTGTCAACCCACTTGGATTGTTGTTTATAGTAATCATAAATTACTCATTTATCGCCACTAGTAATGATTTAACATCAACATTCATGTGTGCAACGCAGGATGAGAAGATTCAAACAGGTGCCCACACATGAAACAAAGTTGCTTTGAGCGAAAAGGTGTGATCCATATCTTCCCACTTTTTTTACTTTGCCAAGAGTTCCCAATTAATGGCTTTTTGACGAAAAACTTGCCACTGATGTACTTGATATATTCCGCACAGTTTGAGACGGGTCCCTTTCAATCCCGGTTTTTAATGCGTCCAAAACTGAGCCCGTATGCTTTTTTGAAGGGGGATTTTCGTCCAACAAGAATTTTCATTTTTCAAATTGATGAATCCAGGTTGTGAAGTTTGTTCGAAAGGGTGCATCTTCGTTGTTAACCTCCACAAATTGGTGATTGATTTCAGTTGATCTGAGGTCAGATAGAAATACAAATAAAATGGTAGTCCAAAAATGGAAATTGTTAGGGGCAAAAACGGTGGGCATATCTCACTGCACGAAAAGAGGAGAATGATCTCCGTTGGGGTTTAGACACTATTAGACCTCACCAGCATACTGATAAAACGACAACTTCCTCGCTTTTATCCCTTTCAAGAAAACGAATTGAAAATGATTTGAAATGATTCGCCAGTCTCAGCAAAATAGATGAAATCGGGTGGTAGCTTGTATACATTTGCTATAGTGTTTGTTATTAGTAAAGACAGCATCATGACACATTAATTAACCTAATTAACATTAGTGAAAAAGCAATAGATAGAATTATGAAACATTGATTGATTTTTCTATATCCAATTTGTAGGACAAGAAGGAATGCAGGCAGTACTGGCATCCGACTACTCTGTCGGCCAATTCAAATACCTCGAACGTCTTCTACTGGTCCACGGCAGATGGTCGTACATCAGAATGGCCAAGTTCCTTCGCTACTTTTTCTACAAGAACTTTGCATTTACACTCACCAATTTCTGGTATTCATTCTTCTGCGGATACTCGGCTCAAACAGTTTTCGATGCTGTTCTCATTGCCTGTTACAACCTGTTCTTCACGGCTCTTCCAGTTTTAGCAATGGGAAGTTTGGATCAGGATGTGGATGATCATTACTCGTTGAGATACCCAAAATTGTATCTTCCCGGACAGTTCAACTTGTTTTTCAATATGAGGATTTTCATCTATTCTGTACTTCATGGAATGTTTAGGTGAGGGATTTGAAAAGCTTTCCTTTTGAAAAAATGGTTTTTTAGCTCGCTTGTAATATTTTTCATTCCTTATGGGGCATTTTACAACGCTGCTGCTTCTTCTGGAAAGGATTTGGATGATTATTCGGCATTGGCATTTACAACTTTCACGGCATTGATCGTTGTGGTTACTGGACAGGTAAATTGAATTTTATCATTCCTAAATTTATAAAGAATCTTGAAAAACCTAATGACTGTCATCGAGTAATGCATTCGAAATTTGGAACCCAATTTATGACTTTTCTAAAACAGTGCCTTTTTTTTGAAAGATTGAAGTGAACATCATGAAAAATTCGAATTTTATTTCCATATTTCTGGATTTATTTTTCGAACAGACACATTCCAAAATTTTCAATAGTCTTGGCCAACTCAAATTTTGGATGGTATTTTTTAATTTAAAAAAGTATTACATGAAAACATTTTCTGAAACTTCTGAAACTGTCAAATTTTTTAAAATGGTTTAAAACGGTTGAACATAATTGGAATCTTTGTTTCCAAAACGCTGAACCCATTTTTTTCAAATTTCGTGCGAAAACTTCTGAAAATTCTAGAGTTAATTGATTCGGTATAACGTTTAGAAAACAAGAGAAATGCAAATTCATCAAGCTTTTGAAGGGATACGCAAACTGAAGTTATAAAGCTCATCTAGTTATCTGAAAATTCTGAAACAGTAGGTTTGAAAAATAGTTTTTAGCACATTTACCGTGTTTTTGGTATCAATCAAATTTGAAAACCCTTTCGAAGAGTTCCTTATGTGGTTTTAAATAAATTCACTGTTTCCAAAAGTTCATAAACCTTTTTATGATCTGTTTCTTTAGTGCGAACACTCCCCCCTATTCTTTTCTTTTACCTTCATTATCTCAATTTCTGTTAGAGCACAAGTTAGAGTTCTATTAGAGCATTTGCGGAAAATCTTTGTACATTTTTCTTCTAATCATCTACATATAAGATAGAACCTTCTAGAAAAAAAAACGAACAACCTCAATAACCCCGCAATCAATCAAAAAAATTTCAGATAGCCTTCGACACCAGCTACTGGACAGCAATCTCACATTTCACAATTTGGGGATCTCTAGTTCTCTACTTTTTAGTGTGTTTCTTGTTATACGAATGGTTACCAGTGTCTTGGATTGTCAAAACATCATCATCTATTTCCTATGGTGTCGCATTTCGAACAATGGTCACTCCTCACTTCTGGTTCTCGATTCTTATGGTTTCTGTTGTATTGTTGCTTCCGGTTATGTTAAATCGATTCTTCTGGTTTGATACACATCCGTCGTTTGCTGATCGACTGAGAATTCGAAGGAAAATGGGCAAGAAACCATCGAGCAAAGATGATAAGAAGTTTGTTTTTTTTCAAATCTTGTTTGGAATTGCGCAATCAAACCAATCCACACATTACCATTTGTTCGGTTTTGGTTTTAAAAACCACAAACTTTGGAGTCTTACGAAAGTATTCAAAAATGTTTCAATTTGTCTAAAAATTTCAGAGTATACTAAAAAAATCGGGCTTCAATTTTGTAGTTAATAACTTTTTGATTTAAGTTTTTCTGAAATATCTACATGGCTTGAAATTAACTAAATGCCAAAACTACCTTCAAGACTTCTTGCAGCAGTTCATCTCACTTGGATGATTTTCGACAGAAAAGTTGTCAACTACAAAATTGAAGCTCTATTTTTGTTCAGTACACTCTCAAATTTTCAGACGAATTCGAAATTTTTGAACCACTTTTATAGGAGCGATTTGTAATTTTTTACTGGACGTCGGTTGAAAAATGTTTCAGTTTCAGAACTTCCATTAAACCCATTCTTCACTTGTTCAACAGTTCAGAGAGAGAACACTTTTTTGCAGAACCACATTCAAACGAACAGCAGCCACTCGTCGAAGTGTTCGCGGATCCCTCCGATCCGGCTACGCGTTCTCACATTCGCAAGGATTCGGAGAGCTCATTCTCAAAGGAAAACTGTTCAAAAATGTGGATAATCTACGTGGCAAAGGGTCGAATTCAAAGATTCATCCGACTTCAGACGACTATCAGCCGATTTTGATGTCTAGTGTTCCAGAGGTGAGTTTCTGACTACTGTATCTTGCACCTCCAGTGTTAAGCAAACAAGTTCAACTCCTCCAGAAGATTCCAGAAGATTCTAAAATTCCAATTCTTCCAGGGATCCACGTCATCCAGCTCCACACCTCCGATGTCACTTCCAATTGATGGTAGCCGCCCCCAGAACGTTGTTCCTCATACACTAGATGTAAATACTGAAGACTGGTAAGTTTTTTTTTTCACTTCTATCAAAAAGCACGGCTTCACTTCTACAGTACTCCTTTCTACCGTAATCGTAACCGTGTCGTAATACCGTACTCATTAGTGTGTTGTTACTATCTTCATACAGGTCTCACGGATATCGTCCCGCCTACGCAAAAGAACCATCACCACTGCAAGGTACCGTAATCCATGGAAATGGGAAAAAAGGGCGGAGCCTAGGGATCTCGAGAGAAACTCAGGTATAGCGAGGAAATGTGAAGTTTTGCGACTTTCCCCGCTGGCCGTTGTATAAATATTGTTTTGTGTGATTTTTAGGAGTTTTAAAATTTTAGTTTGTGTGCTGGTGGCCTAGATTTTTCCTAGGCCACTTTTATTTATTTTCTCTACTTCTACCGTAATCGATCTCATTTCTTGTGCAGTGTGTGCTTTCCGTTTTCAACCCTTTGTGCTTTTCATTCTTTTTGTTAATTGATTATTTAATTATTAAATTACCCAATAAAACTTTTTTAATTATTTCCTAATTTTCCAAAAATCAATATTTTGTATACAGGAAGCCGCCGATGAACAACCAGACGTGATTATTGAGCATCTGTAAAAGGAATTATCCTCGCTAATTAATTTTCTTAATTACTCTCTCTAATTATCCCCGTTTTTGTAGGCACCGGTTTAGGCTCTTTTTCCCTGGGTTTCTTCTTTTTTTCTGTAATTTTTGCTTTAAAATTCTGCTGAAATGTGATATTTTTGGAAATATCAAAATGGGTACTCTATTGTATTTTTCTTCAATTTCGTGTAATTTTTCTTGAAAAATAAAACCAATTTATATTTTTATATACATTTTCATGTAAAGTGATGTCCATCGCATATTTCCCTAATTTTCCATCTGAAAAACGCAATCACCAACTTACTGTAAACACTTCAATAGAAGACCACCCAAACCATCAACTTTGAGCCCATTGATCTTGATTCGAGTAGAAGATATCAAAAAGTAGTCAACCGACTAAATATTTTTGATATTATGATAAATATTTCGTTGGTTGATCACTCTTTCATATCTCATACACGAATGAGGGCAAATAGACAATTGCTATGAGAATTGTTGTTATCTAAAGAGTTGCTATAAAGGAACAATTGCTATATACCTAGTTGCTATGACACAATTGCTATATTTGACACAATTGCTATATATTTTCAAATTTCAAAGGCACAATTGATATAGAATGTACCAGTTGCTATGTGTGATTACAGTCGCTATTTCTGACACAATTGCTATTTTGACACAATTCTATAGTTCTTATAATGGATATTTTTGCGCGTTTTAGTACACTTTCTCGGCTCCTTTGCTTTTGAAAGTGGCCAAAATTTCGGAGGGAACAATGATTCGGGGGTACAAGGGGGTACAACTGATTCAGAGGTGCAAAATTGGTGATTCGGGGTACAAACTACAATTGATTCCGGGGTACAACTCATTTCATTTAGACAATGCTTGTGATTCGGGGGTACAATTTGTTTTGATTTTCATAGATTTTCTGAATACCTGAATTTCAGAGCTCAAAAATCTCAGAATTCTTAGAATTTCGGAATCTGAGAACTTCGGAACTTCAGAATCTGAAAATTTCCGAATTTTCAAAAATTACGACAGAAAGTTTTCACTTCTCATTGTCACATTGTTCATTTTGTGTCATACTTTTTATGAAAAAAAAATTGTGGAAAGAAAATAACTCATTCAGGATTTTCATGCTTAATTGAAGGATCCAGACAGATATAATATTCATGATGTTTATCAATTTTTTCGTCTTATGGTGATTCCCGCAAAAATGAATCAATCTGAATACGACGATAACTGCAAGGAGTGCATTTGCAGAATCTGTCCGGAATACGAAGAGGAGAATAATATTTGATACATTTCATCTGATTTTGCTTTATTGTTCTTGCTATAAAGTGTTAATGTCGTTTAGAAATTGATTTTTTTTTCAGGCCAATTTTCGCGACAGTGTTACTTTTCTTTTGCCGAACATTTCAGTCTTGGCTCTCATTAATTTCAACATGATTGTTTTGTCTCGTTTTTCGAGCCTAGAAGTGTTTTTAGTTTCACACGGGATTTTGTAAATTCCGGAAATGACTAGAATTTTTGGTGGTACGACGGATCGGATATTTCCCAAAATGAAATAGTAGAAAATGAAATGTTTCTGAATCTAAATACTTCCAAATTTCAAAATTTACGGAATGAAAACTGTCCGAAAGCAGAAAAGGCGAAAGTGGAATTGTCCTAAAGTAGAACTGTCCCGTTTT